GAGTTACAACATTCTGATACGCAAAGATCGGTTAGACTAGGTATAACAGCAATGAAGGATCACAAAAGAAACATATTTGGAACTAGTATAATCTATATTTCATAATTCAAAGACCGTGTCTCACCGAATGTGGCTTACAAAAGCGGCAACTAAAATTACTCATATAGTTGCACCACACCTCAATAAGACTGCATACTAACTAACGTTGTCGAGAAAAAGATGTTTTCATCCTTCATTTCGGTGAGTATTTCGTAGACTATGGTACACATACATTGCAGCCAGGCTTATACATCAAAATTCTGAGTACCAAAAGCCGGTGAAACTGAGTATTTCTCTGTTAAAGTTATAATGGATTACTAAAGAAATACAACCCTTCGATGTTTCTCTTTTATCGTTACCTATATTTTTCACTTCGGATACTGCGTTTCTGAGATTCATGTACACAGAAGGTGCAACTTAAGTCATCGATCCTAGTAGGACCGACCTGTGTTCGAAATCCGGTGAGACTGCGTTGCAGCTATCAAGAAGTATCAAATAAATTGTGAAATTTTCTCTTATATCTTATCTACATTTCCCAAATGGAAAGACTTCATCTCACAAATTCCCGTACACAGCAGTTGCAGCTCGAGGCATTTATATAAGCTACAAAAATCTGTACCCCAAAATCGGTTAGACCGAACCTGAATGAGTTCCACGAAAACAGATATCAATATTATCTCTGCTATTGTCATCGACATTGTTCAATTCGGACTGAATCTTACACATGGTAGTGTACATAAACTACCAATAAAGTCACTTCTATATATAAGTTTTGGTATTTTGTAACCCAGAATCGGCCAGACTGAACATGAAATACTACCAAAGAAACAGACGTTTTCAATATTTTCTTTTCTATCGTTGTAATGCATTTCTCGATTTGGAGACAGTATTTCACAAATTCTCGGACACCAAAAGTGCAACTTTAGTCAGAAGTATAAGCTAGATCATCCTGTCTCCGAAATTCGGTACGACTGTGCGCAGGGATGGAGAATTTTCAAAGATATAGACCTTTTCGACATTTTCTCTTATCTACCTTATGATATTTCGACTCTCCAATTTTGAGACTGTATGTCTCATATTCTGGTGCATTAAAGTTGCAATTGATGTCAGGAATCAAAGTCACAAGGGTTGAGATCGAACATCAAAAATTTTTATAGAAGCAGATGATTTGTGAAATCGGAGACTGTAATCAGCGACTACAAAATTTGGATGGTGGTTATTTTGGCAGGCAAAAGATAGCAAAGATGTCTAAAATAGTACCGCAAATTCGTGGAAGTAACGAGCCTAATTTTTTATATTTCTTTCAGAACGGTATTAGAAATGACCTCATCCATTGCAAGGCACTTAGTACACTTTCAAACCCTGCCAGATACCCATGAAACTTTAATAAATTTTGGAGTTAAACTTTCGTCATCCTATAAAAGCTGAAGTTCATATGTTACTTGGGGGACTATCAAAAGATGTTACCCCAGTAACAGGCAGCTTTAATCGTTAAGCCTGACACATTACAAGTCTGCCGTAGCTGCGACCGCGAGGCGGTATATATTCAAGTGATATTGTAGAAATAGTGAGCCTGGTCTTCTGTGATCTATGACTGTGTTGACTGTTGTTTATACTATTGATACAGTTGATCCGGTTTGTCAAAAAATGGTCAATGGTCTGTCAACTACGGCATATGAAATATGACAAATACCAGTTTTATTAGTTTGAAGGGGCTCAGCTACCAAATTATTTTACTAATTCTATAAAAACCTTAACAGGTATCTAATTATCACGTTTAATTATTATTCATAAAATATTATTCAGAATTGCACTAGCTCAGTCAAATTATTACAGAAACTGACGGAGAAGGCGATATTGACATCGATAGTAGTGACGAAGATAGTGAAGACGATTTTTTCAATATATTTCTTACTACAAACAATACTGTCAATGGCGTACTTAGAGGGGGCGTTCTGCCCTTCATAGACCCCCAAGTCTGCCATCCATCCCAGATGGTAAATTCTCCGGGCGACGAACATACTAAACATGAATGCTGTGACCGCCACTGCGACTCCCCCTCCACGCTTAGACAGATCCCAACATCTGCTCTTGGATCCTCTGTTCCCTCTTCCCTCCCTGGTTCCTTCCTATAGTAAACAACTAAACTTTTCGAAAAAGTTAACAAGAGCCCAAAATGCGATGGATTCATTAAATCTATAAAAGTTAGGTGAAAAACTAAAGCTTCCGCCTTTTGTTGGGTACTTCGACAAAATTTAAGCAAGGAGGGCTCTTTATACTTTTTTAATCTCTCTAGCTTTCAATGGTCTTTGTCATCATCATCAGGAGAGTAGTATATGAGGATGTTGCTAAATGTTATTCACGTTGAAGATGAGGGAAACACCCAGTGACCTGGTGAAAGTCGGATACATAGTATATTAGTCAAAATTATACAAACTACACACAGCTGTAGGCCAAGAACAAAACATTACATCATGAACCACTTGAACCACTTGAAGGTGCAATCATCAATTGGTTTATGATGTAAAGTTTTACCTTTCGTTTTGAATATTTTTAATCTGTTTTAATTTGTTCTTGGCATACAGCTGTGTGTAGTTTGTATAATTTTGACTAGTGTACCATGTATCCGGCTCTCACCAGTTTACTGGGTGTTTCCCTCATCTTCAACGTAAATAACACTTAGCAACATCCTCACATACTACTCTCCTGATGATGATGGCAAAGACCATTGAAAACTAGAGAGATTAAAAAAGTATAAAGAGCCCCCCTTGCTTAAACTTTGTCGGAGTTACCCAACAACAATTCATGTTCAAACACGTTTTTATTATAACGCTCGCAAAGCTAATTTTGACAGTTTGTAACTGATCAACAATTTATTTGTTTCCAAGAATGATGCGATACTTTAGGCAATTAAGCCGTTCTATAAAAGACGTGCTAATAACCGAAAAAATAGCCGTAAAAACCCTTATGTGTCTGGTATAAAAAAAGCCTATAAAAATTTGAATCTAAATTTGCAGAAATATATAGGGCGATGCATTTGAAATTTTTGAGAAAAACTACAATTTGCGTTATTGACCACCCTGTATGGGCAAAAATTAAAATTCGAAAAAGTAACAAAAAAGATAAAAGCTGAGGCGTGTAAGTTTTGTTGATACAAAATTCAGCAGTCTAAATTTCAAAATGGTGGACAGGGGGGTTGCCGAAGTGGGGGATTTTTCTAGGCAGAACACCTTATATGTCAGTAGCTAATGACCAAAACCGCATAGTATGTTAAATCGATTCCCTTCTTTTGACTTAGTTTATCTAAATATGTAATAAAATTTGAGGCATTCCATTTGAAAAATCACAACTTTTACATTTAGGTCGAAATTGAGAGTATAATGACCAATATTTTAGAAATGTGCCCTCAAATGTCATGCATAACATCCCATAAATAGATTTTTCCAAAATGTATTTGTTTATGAGTAATATTCCGTCCACACATGGATGGGCCACCCTATATATATGTATATTTACAATGTGTTTGGTCACGACATATCGATATTTAAGGGGGATACTTTACAGCTATTTTTATTGACAAATTCACCCCCTATAATGTCCTACCTCACCCCTCTAGAAATGGATCCATACCACTGGGAACGAAATTAGAGCTGACACGGATATGGTCTGCCGCTCAACACGACACATTGTTTTAAGAACAACAATGTGCATAACCAATAATGGAGGACATTTTGAACAGCTTGTGTAACATTAAACATGTCCAAACTCTCTATAAGAAACATTGATTTGTCATATTTATGAATAAGAAGAAAAATTAATGTTAGGGCCGGTTTCATAATCGCTCACTAAATGGCCTGTTAGATAATTGGGCTGTTAAGTTAATTCTCCAATTAAGGCCTCTTTAATTCCGGGGCATTTCATAATGTCTTTCAAAACGTCAATTTAGTAACAAAGGATTAACTGTGGTTGGTACCCCTGAAATAAATTTTACCTGAACAAATCGGGCTTGTCAATCATGAAACACAGAAAAACTTTTCGCTTTATGCCTGACCTCAGGGTGCTGCCACCTAACCTAACCTGCAATATTGTCAGATATTTTCACCGATTGTGTATTTGCGGTTTACTAGCGTTATCTATTGTGTTTTACGAATATATCTACCAACATGGATTTAAACAAAGGCAAACGAGCACGCGGAAGCAATTTCACCAAGGAGGAGGAACTGCTGCTCGTGCGTAGGGTCTGTATTGTAAGTAAATATCACTTGTGAGAGGTTTTAGTTTTTCAAATTATTTCATGCATTGTAAGACTAGGATTAAATTAAAGCATAGAATAACACTGACCACTTGTATATTATAGTATATTTTGCTTATGATCAAGTCCTGCTTTTTACATAGTCTTATTTCATACTTTTTTAGAGCTGGAGAAATTACACATCAAAGAAGTTGAAGACGCCCATGTCAAAAAGACTTATACGTAGACAGACGAATTCTACTAGCAAAAATTTATTTTATGAAAAAAAATTATGCTCGCAGAAGAAGAAATTAAAAGAAGCAGACTAGAACAACAAGACATTCATATCAAGAGAAAGAGGGATGCAGAGAAACACGAGTGGGAAGGGGAACTACATAGAAAAAAACTTGAACTTTTAGAATTAGAAATAAAACGAAGAATGCTTAACAATTAGCTGTATTGAATATAGATTTGTTATAAATTGGCGAAGTATTCATTTATTAACATCTTTCTAACAACCTGGCTTGAGAGATTGTCATATCTAACATCACCCTGTTCATTTATTTCCTCATCTTCAGAATGATCGATCCACTCTTCAGGTATTGCTTCATTCTCTTATATAGCAATATTATGTAGGACCGCTGTGGCGAGAATTATTGCCATGATTGTATGTAGATCAAGTCTCATAAATAATTTTAAGATACAAAATCGTCTTTTCCAAACACCATATTGCCTCTCTACCACATTCCGTGTCCTAATTATTGATTCATTATATAAATTTTCTGCCTCCACATTAATATCTTGAAGTTTTGTCATCAGATATGGACATAAAAGATCAAACTTCGTGAAATAATTTTCTCTTTTCCTATACACTTTCGTTTTACGAATAGTAGATATGTCCTCATCAGATGAAGAGCTGCTGCTGCTACTTTGCCATAGATTCATATAGGATATAAACACGTACATGAAAATAAATATTTCCAAGGATTTTTTTGTACTGTAAATACTTACCATATTGTTCAAAGTAATGTCGGTTTGTATAAAAATATCGCTTCAATCTGCAGTTCAACAAATAGCATCCAAACGACACAACAAAGAAAGAAAGGTTATGTTAAACATTTAATTCCCCAATTAACCGCTTAACATGCCGAAATCGAGCAGTTAACTTAACGGCCAATTAGAAAACTTTAACTGGCTGATTAGAGATTATGAAATCCATTCAATCGTTAAAATCTCGATTAAATTTAACTGGAGAATTAATTTTGATTATGAAACCGGCCCTTAGTTTGCTTTATAAATTATGCTCCAAAAATGTTTCCTTCCAAAAACTCGGGGTGTTGAAGCTTTAGGAAAAAATGGAAATTAATTAATACTATCAGAACCGCTTTAGATATTTCACTGATATCAAGTACGTAGTGAAAGTTAATAAAGTTGCATATTTTTCAATGCAAAAATAATTTTTAGCTTTAACAGTGGCGTGCGTACTTCGATATTTTTTAAGAAAAATATAGTATACCAATGATTTTTTGCCAAATAAAAATTACACTTGAATTCCCCGTTCATTTTAAAACAAATGATCTCTCTTGAGTTGCTTTCCTTCGATGCGCCATTTTTGAGTAAAAAAATAATAACCGTTCTAATGTCGGAGAAAATTAATGTAATAATTATTGAAGAATGCAATTTAGCAATAAATATCTAGTTGCTTTTGACATCTGACAAGTCTCGTTATTCAAATCTGTTCGCTGTGACATTTTTTCATTATTTAGTTTTTACAATCTTGTTAATAATGGTGAACTATTCAAATGCAGAAATGGCGGAAATGAATTAGTCTTGCCGACGGTAATGGTGAGCAAGCCAGACGGATTTATCACCAGAGATATCCCGATCGTGCTTTGCCAGATAGTAGAACCTTTTCTAATATTCATGGTCGTCTTGTTGAAACTGGTTCTGTCGGAAAAGGAACATCTGAAGGTAGACCTCTAAGTGAGAGAACACCTGAAATTGAGGAAGCAGTGCTGCACGGAGTCGAATAACATCCTGAAACGAGTACGAGGAAGATCGCTAGACACTTAAATGTTTGCCATCAAATTGTTTGGAGAATTTTAGTGGATTTTTTGTTATATCCTTACTATAGTTTAAGAGTACAGGTATTACTTCCCATTGAGTTTTCAAGGCGTGTGACCTTTTGTCAGTGGTATCTTCAAAAAATTACGCAAAATCCGCAATTTGAATCAATGATTCTGTTCACGCACGAAGCTAATTTTTCTCGAAATACCATTCAGAATTTCCACAATAATCATTTGTGGGCAGAAGAAAATCCCTATGCCGTAATCGAAACCCATTTCCAACACCAATTTTCAGTTAACATATGGGCAGGAATTATTGGCAACCACTTTATGGGCCCATTCTTCTTGCCGGGACGACTTCACGGACAGACTTACCTCAATTTTCTTCAACAACAGTTGCCTTTGCTACTTGGTGATGTTCCGTTAGTAATAAGAAACAAAATGTGGTACATGCATGATGGTGCACTAGCGCAATTCAGTGTAGCGGTTCGTAGTTATTTACAAACTGTTTATCCAAATCGTTGGATTGGCCGCCGTGGGCCCCAAGAATGGCCACCAAGGTCCCCAGACCTCAACAGTTTAGATTTCTTTTTGTGGGGCTATCTTAAGACACTAGTGTATACAAGTCCCATTAACACTGTAGAGGAATTAAGAGAAAGAATAGTTGCAGCTTGTGATAGAATAAAAAGCACTCCAGGGATGTTTCAACCAGTGCGTAATTCCATGAGAAGGAGGGCGGAAGCATGAATACTAAGTGAAGGGGGCCATTTTCAACAATTTTTGTAACCACTTCGTTGGTTTTAATATTATGTTTATGTTGTCAGTTGTTGTTCATTACCCCTAATGTGTTTAATTTTTCCAATTAAATTAATAATAATTTTGCAAGTTAGACAATAGGTTTTTATTTTTTCTCTCAAAAATGGCACATCGAAGGAAAGCAACTCAAGAGAGATCATTTGTTTTGAATTGAACGAGGAATTCTATAATAATATTTATTTGGCGTACCATTTTTTTTTAACAAATATCGAAGTCAATACCCGTACGGACGCTACTCTTAAAGCTAAAAAATATGTAGCTTTATTAACTTTCACTACATACTAAATATCACTGAAATATCTGAAGTGGTTGTAATAATATTAACCAATTTCTATTTTTTTTCCTAAAGTTCAACACCCCGAGTTTTTGTGAGGAAACATTTTTGGACCATAGTTTATAAAGCAAACTAACATTATTCTTCATGTAGATGCACACCCTTAAATATTCGCATATCATTAAGGAACACCCTGCACATATATATATATATATATACAATATAGATATATATAGAGAGAGAAAATGTTCATGCGGAGAAAGGTATATACAAAAAGTAGAAAAATAATGGGCAAAATTCGCAAAAAAGGGGAAAGTGGATTCGAGCAGAAAATAGGATAGGTTACACTCGTATCCGGATGTGTGGGCATGTGTATCTACTTTTGTAGTTTCATATGTGCATTCATTTCGGGCCTGATGAAGCCAACCAGCAGAAATACGTATCGCTCGGGTTACCTATCCTATTTTCTGCTCGAATCCACTTTCCTTCTATTTGCGGATTTTGCCCATTATTTTTCTACCTATATATATATATATAACTTGAGACGTGGTCATTGTCGTCTAGACCAGTTAGGTGAAAAATTAAAGCTTCCTCCTTTTGTTGGGTACTTCGACAAAATTTAAGCAAAGAGGACTCTTTATACTTTTTTTAATTCTCTCTAGCTTTCAATGGACTTTGCCATCATCATCAGGAGCTGCAATTACAATGATAACAGTAGCAACAAAGGTGTAAAATGAATTTAAATTGACTCAACTTACAGTAGTATGTGAGGATGTTGCTAATTGTTGTTTACGTATAGGATGAGGGAAACGTCCAGTAACATGGTGAGAGCTGGATAGATTGTACAATAGTCAAACTTATATAAAATATGACAAGAACAAGTTAAAAACAGATTAAAAATTATTTAAAAAATTTTTTTAGGGCATTACATCGTGAAGCCACTTGATGATTGCACAAATTAGTGGTCATGGAATGATGAGTGAAAATTCTGAAAATCTCATCATCTGAAGTGATTTGGCAACGTTTTGGCACACGCCCACAATTCGTTCCATCTTTCAATACTGACATTGACATCCTTCGGCCTTCTGTCAAAGGGTTTCATGTCACTCATCATTCCATGACCACTAATTTGTGCAATCATCAAGTGGCTTCACGATGTAATGCTCTAAAAATTTTTTAAATAATTTTTAATCTGTTTTTAACTTGTTCTTGTCATATTTTATATAAGTTTGACTATTGTACAATCTATCCAGCTCTCACCATGTTACTGGACGTTTCCCTCATCCTATACGTAAACAACAATTAGCAACATCCTCACATACTACTGTAAGTTGAGTCAATTTAAATTCATTTTACACCTTTGTTGCTACTGTTATCATTGTAATTGCAGCTCCTGATGATGATGGCAAAGTCCATTGAAAGCTAGAGAGAATTAAAAAAGTATAAAGAGTCCTTTAATTTTTCACCTAACTGGTCTAGACGACAATGACCACGTCTCAAGTTATATATATATATATATATATATATATATAGGTGAAAAATTAAAGCTTCCGCCTTTTGTTGGGTACTTCGACAAAATTTAAGCAAAGAGGACTCTTTATACTTTTTTAATTCTCTCTAGCTTTCAATGGACTTTGCCATCATCATCAGGAGAATAGTATGTAAGGATGTTGCTAATTGTTGTTTACGTATAGGATGAGGGAAACGTCCAGTAACATGTGAGAGCTGCATAGATGGTACAATGGTCAGAATTTTATAAAATATGACAAGAACAAGTTAAAAACAGATTAAAAATTATTTAAAAAACATTAGAGCATTACATCGTGAAGCCACTTGATGATTGCAATCATCTGATAATTTCAAGAACTACCTAGGAAATTCTGCTTTTTGAAATAATCAAGGTTTGGTAATGTCAAACTATGACGTATTATACGTTTTTGGCATCAGAATCAAAATTTATATTTCTGTCCCAAAAAGCCAATATATGGCGTAGATGAGAAAAAATAAAGTTGATGCTGGAGGACAAGAGACGAAACGTCGTATTGAAATTCTAATTATGCCATCTTGTCGAGGAGGAAAAGTGGCAATGTAAATGTGCAACATGTTTCGAGATCCCACTACAAATAAAGTCAGAAAAAATCTGAACTATTTTGGGAACATTCGGTTTTTCTTCTCTCTCCGGCAGTACTTTGAATTTCGAAACTTTCATAAATATGCAGCTTTGTCCCCTTTTAGGCAACTTCGTATCTATTACAGTTTCCGAGATCCCAGTGGTGAGGGTAGAATTTGAAATACCCTGTATATAGTGAAAAGATACACATGAATCACGAAATAATGAAAACTGTTTAATGCATAAACATCAATCGTGTAAGAGATGGCCTGAAATAAATATACAAAATGCATCACTCAACAAATTCGCGCCAGCCGTTGCGAATTTTGCCACTGCAAGCAAGTCAATTATGAGTTGTTTCTCTAACGGAACCCGAACTGAGAATTTTTTATATGTCGGTTAAACAACAGAAAGAGCTAAATGAGATAAATAAGACGGCAGAAATCACACGGCAAAGGCTGAATTAGCGGTATGTCAGTGGCGTATATAGAACTTGAGTGCGAGTGGGACTTCAAAGCCACGAAAAATATTGGAAGGAATGTCATTTTGCCATTGAAAAAATGGCGTCAAGTAGATTGACTTTGTACTTCCCACGCTACAACGTTCGTAAAGATGTACGTTTGGCACAAGTGGGCCTTCTGACAAAAAAGTTTGAAAAGATTGTCTGAAACGTCCAAAAACGAAGGCTGAGTGTTTTTTTTGTTGTTGTTATTGGCATTTTCTCCGCCGTCACTCAGGGGCGGGAAGTAGAAGCTCAACTTTGACAACCTGCCATGCAATTTTCAACTGCCATGTTCACACTACAGTATTCATGTATTAATTTCATTGTGCCAAATTTCAGCATGCTAACTCAATCCGTTCAAAAAGTATTTAAAAAAAAGTACTGTATAAACTACGGTGACATGATTTCTCGACTT